TTTTTAATTTACTAATAATATGATAATATTCTTGATTATTTAATTTTACGCAGGAAGCCGGCATTTTTGATGCCTTAGATCATCAACATCTTCGTGCTGTCATCTTTGGTATCTTTCTTGATCCGAAAGAACCAAATAAACTTGTGGAATGCTATACTTTTAAAGTATCCTATCCTAATGGTGAGCCTTTGCTACGGATTGAAAATAATAATGGCGAATTATTGACAACCGCAGGTGGTGGTCATGACGTCATGGCTACCATGCGTGAAGGAATCACTGTTGGTGAAATAAAAAAATCTACCCAACAATTATTAAGAAGGTTGATTCTATTAACTCAGACATTAAAGGTATATATATATATTTACTATTTTATTTTTATTTTACATTTATCTCTAAAAGCATATGGTTAATCATTTTTTTTTGTTTCATTTTCAGCCATTGCCAGGTTTGTCTTTGAATTTACTTTAGAATTTCTAAATTTGATGATTAATCTGCCTAATTTTTATATTTACCTCAGATAACCGTTATATCGTTGTCAAGCTTCACTATTACGAACATGTAACACCAGCTGATTATGAACCACCATTCTTTCGCGCTAGTAATCTTGCTGAAGAAGGTTTTATATTTAACTCTCGACCTGAAAAAATACCAGTCGGTGAAGTGGATACGGCATATCACGGGTTCGCTTTTTTATTGCAAAGTTTATCATATCATAAACTAATTATAAATTATAAATTAAATATAATAATCCATAATATATTTATAATATATTAATAAAAAATATCTTTAGCATAAATTTATCAATTCAAACAATATCTGATGTTCTTGATATTGAAGATGATTCTACTATTGATAAAATGTTGGTTGAATCAAATGATACAATAAAAGATAACGAAAAATCTTGGAATGCTGAAGATGACTCTGATTCTGAAGATGGTCCAAAGGTGACCAATATTGACATTCCTCCGTTAAAGCGAGACCAATATAATGAGCGATCTGACAGACGAGAAACGTCTGTAGTATCAAATGTTCCAACTTTGACTTCTAGGTCAATGTCCAGAGATAGGCGAGAAATGTCAATAGTATCAAATGTTCCGGTTTTGACTTCTAGTTCAATGTTCAGAGATAGGAGGGAAATGTCAACAGTTCCAGCTTTGACTTCTAGCCCAATGTCCAAAGATAGGCGAGAAATGTCAATAGTATCAAATGTTCCGGCTTTGACTTCTAGCTCAATGTCAAGAGATAGGCGAGAAACATCAATAGTATCAAATGTTCCGACTTTGCCACCTAGGGTAACTAGATCAATGACAAAAGATATTAATTCTACCAAAGTTTATGATAGTATGTAGTTTCGTTGTTTTGAAATCTTTGGTTAACTCTCAAATTTATTTATTTCTTTTTAAACCTTTTTTTACTCAGAAAATGAAAACATGGCTCATTCAAATCGAAGTAATCAAAAGTCTTTTCCTTTATTTGAAAAAATTATAGTTTGTTAAACATTTCTTAATTTGCTACAGTATCTATGTCGCGTAACAGCGGATCAAGAAACGGCAGTATAACACAACCTATCGACCACTCGCATTCGAACAATGTAGATAGAAATCGCTGTTCAACATCTATTGTTTCAAGATCATCACAACTAAGAACTTATTCTACACAACGGCGCAGCCATTCGTCTCCACGTCAAGATGTGTCCAGTGAGACAAACTATGTACCTGTAAACTCTCAAAATTCTCCTGTAATTATTGACGATGATGATGAATCTTCTTCTAACGAAAGCATGGATAATACACTTAATTATAAATGTGATTGTGGTGTAAATACTCGTGACGGAGATATGGTATGTAAAAGTTGACTAACTATAATAATTTATAATAATAATATAAAAATAATAAAAATACTGTAATAAATATTTTTATAGATCAATTGTGTTAAATGTAATACATGGGGACATGTTCCTTGTTATGGATATAAATCTCTCGATGATTCTCGCATGTCAAAATATCATACTTGCTATCGATGCCTACGAGATGAAAATAACAATCTTTGGGAATTAGATGCTCTTATAGACTTGGCTTTGTTTCGACGTTCTTTATGGATAATTTGGAAAGAAGGAATTCCTTCAACTTGTAGACAATTTGCTCAACGATTAGGTAATTTATTATGATAATAAATGTAACTACGAAAGAAATTTTTAATTATTTATATTTTGGGCAGGTGTCAAATTGTCTTGTGCACGTCAGCTTCAGACCCGTCTGAAAACTGAAGGATTTATTGCTCCTCCTCCAAGGCCTTCTAAAAGGAAGGGTAAAGCTGTTGTTGGAAGTAGCACTTCTAATTCAAACAATCCATTTGAAGTCATAAAAACTGAAGAGAATATACGCAAAATGAATGATTATTTTAACCCAGATATTGGACTGATGCCAGTTCGTATTCTCATTAAACCCATATTAAACTTATAAATATTTGATTTAAATTCACATTTTTAGCACTTTAATAGATATCTCCAGAGAACTTTGACGTGGAGGATGATTTCCATGAAGAAAATCATGATAAATTACAAAAAACTACGTCAGAATTCGTTACAAAAGAAAACTCTCCACCTGCATTGTCTCAAGAATTTACTCCAATGGAAATTTCTTTTGAAAATTCTGCTCCAGCTTCACAAATTACTATTATGGAACCAGATGTAAATTTTAAGTTTAAATATTCAATTACTTGTAACTTTTATTAAATTTTTGAAATTAAATAATTAAGGTGCTATCTTTTTTTTAATAGCAAACAACTGTAACTAATATACAATCGACATCGTCATTTCTTGAGAACAGAATATCTCATCATGAATCAGAAAAATCTGATGACGGACATAGGAAACATAAACTACATGATAAAAATTCCGTAGATGTTGACGCAGATGAAGAAGATCAAGGCCTCAAGAAAAGAAAAGTTTCTATTAGTATCGGACATATTGCTGTATTATAATGTATTTATTTCATATTTGCTAAAATATCAACTTTAAAAGCTCCGTGAAATATTGTTAAAAAGTTCTTTAGAAAGCTCAATAAATATAATATTCTGAGCTGTGTATATATTTTAACACTTCTATGATCGGAGGTACAAATTGCATAAACAAACTATACATATCCGCGAACTATTAAAAATTCCGAAATCTTCAACCATGAATAACTTTTGATTCACTGGTCCGTTTTGGGTGATTTTACCATCAAAATGTCCGTCATTCTAACGAGCCCAAAATCAGTAAAATCCATTAATGGGATCCCAGATCGTTAAAGATTTGTGTCACTTCGGATGCTTTAGGATTGATTAAACCAATCCTAAAACACCCGAAGTGACACAAATCTCAGGATCCCATGAATAGATTTTACCGATTTTGGGCTCTTTAGAATAGTCTCGTTGTGACGGTCATTTTGATGGTAAAATCACCCAAAACGGACCAGTGAATCAAAAAGTTATTCATTGGTAAATATTTTGGAATTTTTAAATAGTAATTCCAAATATCCGCTGTATATGTTAGTAGTGTACCCGAATAAAAATTGCCGTATAAATAAATTATCCGGATAGTCCGGGTATTATTTCTTTAGTTTCGAGATTATTTCAGATTACCATATTTCACGGTTCATTGCTTTTAATGTATCTAATTATATATTTTAGTATGGGTAGCCATTAATGATGCGGTAGAATCGTCCCAATGATTATCATAACTTGCCGTAACTATTGTAAGTAAAGTAAGTTACGGCTATAATTCCGTAACTTACTATATCAGATATTACTATAATTACGGCAGGTTACGATAATCATTGGACGATTCTACCGTATCACTAGTAGCCATATTATTTTTATTTATAATTTTATAAAGTTGTGCAAAAAAAATAAAATATAAAATTCACATCATTATAATATTAAGACGTCCAAATATAAGACCTAGGGATGGATCCAGTTCAACCTCGGTCCAAAAACGGTCCTTAACTATTTAAACTTTTAACCATCTTATGAATAGCGGATGCTAACGGTCCGGTCCGGTCTGGTTCAGAGATCTTTTCCGTGTTTTGGACCAGTGTTTGGTCTGGTTTATTATGGTGTATAGAGTCTTAAGACTTTGAGCAGACCAATATTTTTCAGTTCTAGACTGGACAATACTAACTGTGATCTATTAGTCTAGACCAGACCATATAATGTCCTAAGAGAAAATTAAATCATGACATCGACAACTGAAAATAAGCGATTATAGATAATACTAAGTTTTGCTAGCTATTTTTGTGGTAGTCTTGGCAAAAAAGATTCGCAATCAGGTGATTTCCAATCATTCTAAACCTCATTGTGAATTTTTTCTGTTACGATTACTCTACCTCCATTTTTAACTATTTATGACGATGTTCAAAGATCGATCCTTATTCGATACGATCCATCCCTAATAAGCGTGATTAGAAAATAGAAAAATTTTTTTAATGAATTTTTCTTATCAATATTAAATTATATATATATATATATATAATTTAGTACAATAAAAAAAAAAATTAACATATATATATATAGATACGTATTTCATACGTATACCTATGTTTCAAAAACCTGTTAACTTAAAAAAGTTATTAATTTTAAATATATACATAAGAATATTGTTACGGGGTGAATCGTAGGGTTTTATTAATTTATATACAAAAAGATATAATTTATATGAGAAGGCGTGGTAAGTTATTTTTGCTTGATTTGTTTATTATTACATCTT